TATTAATAAAGATAAAGGCAAAACTTCACCTTAAAAAAAAAAAAAAAAAAAAAAAAAAAAATAACTGCTATTCAAAATTCTAAATTAGAAAAATTTTAAAAGCTGACTAGAAAAGGAAGTGATAGAAAATAAACTTAAAATATAGTAATGAATCACAGGATTATACATGCTATAGAAATTTATTTTAGCTGTGCTGAAAGTATTTAGGCACTGATTTTTTGGCAAAAAATAAAGCTGCAAATCATAATTTATGCCACAAATGCTGAAATCCAAACATATGTAATAATCTAAATTAATTGCCGCAATTTGTCTTATAATAATTTATTGTTCTCAAATTCTGGAACAACAAAAAAAAATGCTAATGACTAAACTAATAAATTTCTGAAATTGGTCACTTATTCTGATTTAGTAATTTATCAATCCAGTATAGACAATTTTTTTGTTGTCTCAGAATTTATGAGAACAGCTATAAAGAATATATACTTTTTTTACATTATTAAATCACTATATCAATTGCATATCAAAAGTTAGGTAAAAATCATGTCACAATAATTTCTACAGCATATATATACAGGATGCTGAATTATTTTTTTTAACAATTGTACTATAGTATATAGTTTAAAATAGTGCTTAGCAAAATCGAATAAAACTCAGTTTTTGAGTTTTTGATTTCAGACAATCTAAATTTATTCTAATACTATGCTAAAAACAGTTTGATTGTCCAAAATTAAAAATTCAATTTTCGAGTTTAACTCAATTTTGCCAAGCACTATTCATAATCTTTATTATTAATAAGTTTAGAATTGATTTATTTTGGAAGTTATTTTCTGTTTTAAAAATTTTATTAAATAAATATACTTTATTCGGTAGATAACTATAATCAAATTGTCAAATAAATTTATTATTTGGCAGTTTTTATTATTCGGCAGTTATTATTATTCGGCAGTTTTTATTATTTGGCAAATTAGTAAATTCAGTAAATATGTTATTATATATAATTAAATGCAATATTTATTATATTTAAGCGAATATAAATTTTACATATTATTTGATATTATATAACGATACTATTTAAATAATATGTATTTTAATTGATCGTAACTTTATCTGCAGTAATATAATAATTTTTTACGATTACATTTCCATCCATTCTATCTTCAGCAGTTTGGTAATTATATTTATAGGATTTTTGCTGTTCTATTGGTTGGGTGAGATCTTTTAGTGGTGTACGAAAAGGCTTTGTTACAGATTTCCATTTTTAGGTTGATTCGTTTAATACTTTATTAGCTAATCTTGTAGCCGAATTTGAATCAATCTAAAATAAAAAATCGTAATTTATAATATTATTAATTTATAAATTATCGATAATATAAATATAAATACCTTTGATTTTAGAGACTTTGCTTGATCATCTTGATTATCATTGTAAGTAATAGATAAATTTTTAAACCGATTCTGGTTTTATACATAAAAATTTTAATATTTAATTATAATTTTTATATAAATTAATATGACATAATACTTACATTATCTTGCTTCAAAGGTAGCTCAATATTATTAATCAAGCTTGATAATGCATCTTCTTTGTCTTTTTTGGAAGGCCTTGTATAAACTCGATAAGAGGATTCACTTTTATGACCTGTAATTGCCATTGTCGTTACCATTGGAACTCTTTGTCTAAATAAAGCAGTAATTGAAGTAGATCGTTCAGAATGGTTGGTAATACTGCGATTATTGGTATCAATACCAACAATATTGCAGATGTTTTTCATAAATGTTTGACATAATTTTTCACCAAGTCTTTTATCACAATACCAAGATTCTTCAGGATCATTTAAATTTAATAATAATATAAGTGAAATTATAATAAAAATATATAATTTAATAAATCTTACATGCAAATTTATTGTTAATTCGAAGGTGTAAATAAGGACATTAACAATTATTAGGATGTTTTGAAATATAAAGCTTAAAATCATGTATTGGTCCTTGAAAATCTGCAGAATCAGGTGGTACAGAAATTATTAAACCTGTATTATTACTTTCAATGCCACCCTGGTCGTTCTTTTGAGAATATTTAGTAAATCGTAATCCACCATCTAATGTAAAAACAAACTGAGATATTTTGATCGAATAATGTTCTCCTCCTCTGAGTTGAAACAGTAAACAACACCATATAAAAATACAATATTGTAAACCTTGAGGATTATTGATAGAAACTGAATTATGTTGAAATATTTGTTGTATTTCTTCATCTGTCAAATTGTCATGGTGTTTTATGATAGTTTCACATTTTTTAATTGTTTTAACTTTTCGTTTAGTGTAGACCATAATAATCTAAATTCTTTTTTATTTAATAATATAAATTGATGATTTCCATCAAAATGATTAAGAAGATATAAACTTAATAAGTTTATACAATTGATAAGAGATGAAGGTGAGTATTCAACAGAATTTTTAATTTGTCATATTCCTAATATAAATTCTGTCATTTCAGTTTCTAATTGATCTTTATTATTGATTGTTTCAATTCCATAATTATAGCCAACTGTTTGACACCAATTTTTTAAAATTTGAACCCACTTATCGGTGGCTTTTCTAGTATTTGCTGGAATAACACCAGTTCTTGTTGCAAGAATTTCTTCTTGTGATGGTTTGTAATATGCATTATTCTGCTAGTAAAAAATAAATAATATAAATATTTATTTTTATTTGGTTAAAGAAATTTTATGTTCGAACCTTTGCTTTTGGCATATTGTTTTGTAAGAAGTAAATAAAAAAAGCAAAAGCTTAAATGACAGTATTATTTATAAATGTCATTAGTAGTCTGATTGTCATCATCCACCAGATAAAACCATTATTGGCTGCTATACATCAATAACTTCCATATCTGGCCCAGAAATCTGCAATTTAATATGCTAGACTCTGGGCCCCTGCAGGGCCCAGAGTCTAGCATATTAAATTGCAGATTTCTGGGCCAGATACGTCTTCGTATTTGTCACTTGATACTAATTAAATAGTGATCAGCTGATTACTATTTAATCAGTATCAATGTGCCAAATACTACAGTTATTGGATGCTTCGCATCTAATAACTATTAATTATTATATAATTAGTATAGTAAGATTTTTTAAATAAATAAATAAAATTTTTCTTATATTTGAACTTAGTTAAATTAATAAAAATCAGATTCTAAAATAATTTGTATATCAATTCTTAGATCTGATTGGCTTATATACACTTATTTGCAAAAATTTTTTATACTTTTAATTATTATTAGAAATCTGTAAATTGATATCTAAGTATCTAGATAATAGAAAACAATTAGTTTAATTAATCTACAATAATTTACTTTAATTTGCATTTCTTAAAAAGTAAGTGAGACTTGAAGTTTGAAGATTGTTTTTATACAAACTGAATTGTAAAAATATAATTTTACTAATTGAATTTATATTTTAAATATTATTTTGTAGTGTCAACTTCTCAAGTACAATTAGAAGAAATTCCTCAATGTATTTTTGCAGATTTAGTTGAAATTTACAATGAAATTGGCTTGAAACCTTGTGATATAGATCCATGAAGACTACAAAATGCTAATACTTCAGCAGTTGCTAGACAACTTGTTTTTCTTCAATCTTATATACCAGAACTTGCTAATCATTATTCTTCTTTAGCTACTTATATTATTTGTCAAAGGTACTATAATTAAATTGTTGCTAATGATTATTATAATCTTGCAAATTTAGATCAAGAAACTGCTTTTAATCAAGATAATATAGCTATAGATTATACTCATCAAGATAATATAACTATAAGCTATAATAATCTAATGATTGAGCTTGATTGAACTAGAAGACTTTTAGAAGTTGCTCAAACAGAGAACCAGCAGCTATCTCAATTTTTAGAAAATCAAAGAAATAAAATAGTTGAATTAATACAAAAAGCTTATAATAATATAATTATAACTTGTAATTTTTTAGAACATCAAAAAAATGAAGTAGCTGAATTAAAAAATTAGTTGCAAAGTATTTATGATGAAGTGATTACAGTTCATAATTTGTATAAGGAACAACTTAGAATTAATGATATACTTGTTATATAGTAGAATTCTAGATTTGATAATCAACAAAAACATATTAATACAATAGTTGAAATAGCAAAAGCAGAACGTATATTATTATTTGAAGATTTAGAGCAATTAATTCGAGATAGTGATAGGTTCTCTTTAGAAAATCTTAAAATATATAGCTTACATAAATGGCTTAATAAGCGTAATCAGGTTAGTATTTTTTTAAATAATTTTTTTTTAAGTTATTTAAATCATTTAATTAAATATTTTTATAAAAAATATTTATAGCTATTTTTATATTTATCAATATTAAACAGGTTGCTGTTAAATTTATTGAAATTTTGGTTTAAAATAATTGAGATAGTAATATTTTAAGCCAAGAAAAACTTTTTAAAACTGCTGTTGCAATTGATTCAATATATGAAACATGACATAGAAAATATATATTTGAAATTCAACTTGCTGCTTCAGCTATTAAATATTCAATTTCTTGATCAAAAATGACTATAGATATTAACAACCATATTACAAGTTCTGGAAATTATTATCGATTTCAAAAATGGCTTAAAGAATTATCAAATCATGAAGATTCATTGTCTGAAAGCCTTTTATTTCTTGCATTTGACAATGAATAAAAAGAACAGAAAAACTATCTCAATCGAGAATCTAATATGATGGTTTACTATATTGTTACTAGCTTTGTTGCTTTTAATATAGCATTACAAAATAGAATTCAATATACCAATCTACTTTGAGCACATTAATCTTTTTTTAGATCTCAGTATGAAGAACTTTTTGATATTAGTTCTCAAATGCAAGAAATTGTTAATAAGAAATTATATACTTATTTTGCAGAAATTCTTAATTTGTTATCTAAAGAAAAATTATTACCTACTAATATTATTTTTTTTTTCCTTCGGCAATCCTGTTTACTTTATTATAGGAACAGACTATCATTCTTACATCAGCATACGAAGAAATCACAATCTATAAGTGTTTCAACCAAAGAGTAAACTCATCCCGGCGTACCTCGCAGATGCCGAAACATCCACTTGCAGTCAGAGCGAACCATTAAACTGCTGTGTCTTGCCCAGATGCGACCTGCCTAGCAACACTTGGCCTCCTCCAGAGATCCAGAACTCACTCCAGACTTATTTCC